TTTATCCTCTTCGCGGATGGCCCTCGTCAACTGGCCGCTTTCCACGAAGCTTCTCGCGGACATATTCTGTCCGCGCATCATCACCTCTAGTTCCATGACTCTCTGACCCCTCATCGTTAGCATCCATGCTCAGATGATGATGGGGACTGCTCGGCCGTGCATCAATGGCTCTCGGCCAGTCCTTCGACGGGATCACCGAGAAGTACACCGCGTGGTCTTGCCTATGAATCTTCAACAACTCAAATGAATATGTCGTGCAATAAGAATGATCAAGTGAACATTGCAAAAGACTCTTATCGTTGGAGGGAGGTTCCCGACGTTGAAGGCCCGCTGTCGGTCCCTGTTGGACATCCAACCTATGAAATTAAAGAGCGTCGAGATTCGACGCTTGACCTCGTCCTAGTCAATCTCCTCGGGCACCTCTCGGGTCCCGTCGATGTCTCCTTGGAACTCAAAACCGGGGTGCGTCCTCTCCTCGCAGGACTAAACCCGCCGGAATGTGAAGTTTGTTGCCACAATGACTCCATCTAGCCTCTTGCAGTTAATCAACCTCAAGAGCTCCCTCACCTGCTCCATCCCATCAGACCTCAGCCTCTTGGACCACTTGGAGTTGCTCGCGGGGATCTAATCCACGTCACATGCCACATATGGCTCTACCTGCCTAATGTAAAACCACTTCGATGCCCAGTACTTCATATTGGTGTTGAGCGGGACTACGATGTACTGACTCACCACCCTGTCCCGAAGCTGCAAATATGCACCACCTACAACTCTAGATCCAGACCCCCCTGGATTTTGAGGCAGAAAAAATGACGAAAGAGGTCGAAATGGGGAAGGATTCCTAGATACTCCTCACAAAAATTGATGAAGATGGCGACATGCAGGATGGAATTCGGGCTGAGATTGCAGAGACCAATCCCATAATAATCAATTAGCCTATGAAGAAACGGATGAATGGCAACACCAAACCCCTAGTAGAAGTAATCCTCAAAGATAACTAATTCATCGGTGCGAGGAGTGGGGAATTCCTCACCAAATGAAGGGTGCTATCCTGCCGTTACCCTGTCGGGCAGCATGCCATCTACCACCAGGGCGTTGAGCGCCACCTCATTGCTGACGGACTGCGCCCACTCCTCCTCGCGGTTGATCTCACGCGCCGCCGCCCTCGAGCTCACACGGCTCCTCTTCGGCGCCATCAAGTAGATCTGAGTTGAAGTAGCGGTTTTCTGCGCTTGGAGCAGCCCTAATGGCAAAGCGATTGCGAGGCGCAGAGGCGAGAATGCAAGGAAGAAGACGATGCGATGGGGAAATGGTGGGGAGTGTGTGCGGGCGCCACGGTACCATTATAACGGTTCGACCCCAACTCTTTGACTTCTAGGGTTTTTGGAAAACTACGCTCGCCGTGCCGTTCCCACTTCCGAAGTCTTCACACGCTTTCCTAGGCCAATAACAGGGCCTAGCGGATCCACAACTGAAACCACGTCGTCCGCGGGCCGCCAAACGGATTTAAGTGCTAAGCACTATTTCACTAATTTAATTGGGATTTTTGGAGCAAGATTTTTTCTTCAGATCCTGCTACAAGATTTTCTCCTTAATCTTCCAGCAGTCTTGGGGACTACATGTGTACACGTCATCTTACGATGACTGTACTATTTTCTATGTTGTTTTCTCTCAGCTAAGCTAGGGACCGGTGTCTAGCTAAGCTGGGGACTGGTGTCCAACTAAGCTGGGGACAGGGCTAGCATCTGAAAGACTATTTTTCTAGATCCTAGCACCACGTGAATACTTCACCTACTATCAGGCTCGGAGACTGAGTAGGCACACTTCACCTTATTGTGAATGTGCTTATTTTTTACCCGAGTTTCTTCAAAAAACGACTAAGTCGTAATCTGCTGTTGCTCAAGCCCTTGGTTTGGCTCTAAGAGTCAATCCTGCCCAAAGCATGAATGCTAAGCATCTCTCTATGTTTTTTGTGGGAATAAGTTCCTCCGAGCTGACTAAGTCAGGGACGCTAAGCGTCCAACTTCGCTGCCCGGGACTTTAAGTGGGCACACTTAACCTAAGGTGAAGACTTTGAATTTTTTTTACTTAAGCTCCTTACATCGTTCTGACAAACCTCAACTTTCGGTGAGTTCAGGTACGGCGACCAGTTGAACTGCTCGGACTGCTCGGATGTCGACTTCAACTTCTCGAACGCATGTTTTACTGCTCGGCTCCCAGTTAAACTGGTCGAAAGCCTGCTCCCGGTGATCAGCAGCCAGTTGGATAGCCCAGACAAGCTCAAGACGATGTTGTTCAACGGATACAAGGTGCTCGGGGACTACTTATGGGGGTATAACCCCGAATACCCATAGGGTTGTACATGGGCCGAGCCGTCAGGGGAGGCCCAGCCCACGAGATCAAACTACGCGGGGCACGGCGTAAGGTCGGCGTGCGCCGCAAGATTGCGTGAAGCTTCCTTGGCGACGAATGAGAATCTGATCGGATATGTTAGATATCGTATTCCTTGTAAACACCTATCATGTAACCGATCAGGATAGATGCAACCGACCTGTAACCCTACCTCCGAGCTATATAAGGCGGATAGAGACCCCTCTCGTTTTCATTTCATCTCATAATACAATCCACCAAAGGCACAGGACGTAGGGTATTACGTCAAGCTGACGACTCGAATCTGCCTAATCGTTGTTTCTTGTGTTCTGTGTCACCATCTAGTTTCTATCACGCGTACCTCCACTGATTTATCTACTACCGTGGGCATACCCTTCGGTAGACTGTCGGCCATATTTCGTCAACAGCCTGTTTTAGGTAGTGCTACTGAAGGAAAAAAAATAAATAGTATCAAAATAAGTTGCTACCCAAATATAAAAGTAGAAACCTGATTTAAGTAGCAGTGCTGGAGTGCTCTAATAGATTAACAACCATTAAGTTTCAATGAACCTTCCACAATACCAATCATCCTTCGTCACATGAATAACGTTGTTTTTTTTTTGCTGAATCATGAACTTTTTAGTTTTGGAAAATTGCGTGCAACGTACTAACATGCTGTTGCTCAACAACCTCCTCGGGCAAGAACCTTTTAATGACATTTTTTAGTCTAATGCTTGCATGTCCGCTCGGAAGAATGCTTTATAGGCCAAGAGGTCCAACTGAAACTCGCGCCTATTTAACATGGCTATTTCACAAGTTAGTTAATGCGAGTCCACGCAATTTGTGTTTGATGATTTGAAAAATAACTAACAAATTATTTGGATAGACACTAGGATGGATTTGATCATAAATGTGCTGAGTTCTTTATTTAAGGAGAAGTGGCTCAAGATGTTGCACTAGGGCCCAGTTTAGTTCCCTCCCATTTTGCAAAATTTTTCAAGATTCTCCGTCACATCGAATCTTTGGACGCATGCATGAAGCATTAAATATAAATAAAAAATAAAACTAATTATACAATTTAGACGAAATCCACGAGACGAATCTTTTAAGCCTAATTAGACTATGATTAGACACTAATTACCAAATAACAACGAAAATGCTACAATCGCATTTTGCCAAAAATTTTGACATCTAAACAGCCCCTAGTTTCTGTGCCTCTGGTAGTGAACATCATGTCACTCAACGGAAAAAGAGAGGTGTTCTCCAGAATTCAGCCGTTATTGTTTTATTCACATTTACTATTAAGTATTGACCATTGTAGAAAGCACATAAGTACTCAATATCAAAGGATTTGATCCCAGTCTCGTAGATTCTAAACGAAACTTGTGCTTTTGATCCTAAAATGGTTTTAGTGCATGCCATGGTTGAATGGCAACTGCAGTCTACTCCTTTTTACCTAAATCTTCACTTATTATTTAATAAATACGATAAGCTTAGATCATTTCAACTGTTAATCTATTCTGACAATTAAAATGCAAGAAAGAACGAGTAGGGGTAATAAAATCTATAGAAAAAATAATGTGTATAAACATTAACACCTCGCTAATTTTTTGTTTATCCATAGCCATAGCAACGCATGTGCACAAATCTAAACCCATAATAATTCACCTAAACCCATAATTCTTCCCTAACTTCCCTACCAAACAAAAAAAAATAAAAGAGTCAACCAAAAGAGAAAAAAGGAAAAGGAAAAAAACCACCATCGCCCTTCTGGTTAAGGTTTTTACCTGTGTGTTGTTATAAAAATTGGTAATTACATACAAGCCACTAAAAAAGTTGAGTTCTCACAAGTGACACTGCTCTTAACTCTTTTGCCCTTCATGCCACTTCCGTCAGATTTAGCCCTAACGGTGTCAAATTGTGGGTGTGAAAAGTCAAAAATACCCTAGGGTCTGAATACACAATTATTTTTTTTAGCATGTTAAAGACCTCAAATGAAAAAACTCAAAACTAGAAAGTTGTAGATCTCGACAATATCTATAATTTTTATAAAAAAATATCTTTCATTTAATTCCGTACAAAAAATTGATTTAATATGATTAATATGTCTTAGAAAAATCATATTTTTTATACAAAATGAAATGAAAATAATTTTATATAAATATTATAGATCTCTAGTTTTGAGTTTTTTTTATTTGAGATCGTTAAGATGCTCAAAAAAATTAATTATATATTTAAACTAAGGATATTTTTGACTTTTTACGTTCGCAGTTTGACATCGTTAATATTAAATCTGACAAAAGTGATGTATAGAGCGAAAGAGTTTAAAGCAGTGATACATAGGAGAACTTGATTTTTTAATAGTTTATAAATAATTATTAATTTTTATAATGACACACGTAGAAGCCTCTTTTCGGTTTGCTCACCAGACCCCAGCAGCCCCTCCTCCCCGCTCGCGGAGTCGTCGTTCTCGTCTTCGGTACTCGCGCGCGCCAGCTCACTTCCCTCCTCCCTTTCCCTTCCCCAGATCTCCCTCCATCCTTCCCTCAGAATCCCAGATCTCTCTCGGCCCCGTGCCCCGCGCTCCGAAACCCCTGCGCCGCCGCGGGTGCCAGGCCGCGAGCGTCGCCATGGGCATCGTGTTCACGCGGCTCTTCTCGTCGGTCTTCGGCAACCGCGAGGCTCGCATCCTCGTCCTCGGCCTGGACAATGCCGGCAAGACCACCATACTCTGTAAGTCGCACCCGCCCGTTCCGTCCCCCTCTCCCTCCTCGAATCTCCGCAGGCCCACCGCGGATCTGCGGTTCTGTTCCGCGAGGGTTCCCGATTCTGATCCTTCCGTGTGGTTTTGGTTCGTTTCACAGATAGGCTGCAGATGGGAGAGGTCGTCTCCACGATCCCAAGTGAGTTCTTATTTACGGACTCGTCATTGCTGCTGCTGGTTGGAGTTGTTGGATTTGATGTGATGCCTTGTGTGTGTTGTTGCAGCAATCGGGTTCAACGTGGAGACGGTGCAGTACAACAACATCAAGTTCCAAGTATGGGATCTCGGTGAGTTGCTCGGGTCTCGCCGCTCTCTTTGGCATTCTGATTGATGATCGACTGTTTGGATACTCAGAACAATCATAAGTGCAATCTCGAACAAAAACTTAGAGACTATTATGTGAGAAGGGCAATTGAAACTCAGCAAGAGTGAGCTATCGAGTGCTGATTCTGTGAAAGATAATTGAAATGGCACTTCATTCTGTATGCTTTAATCGAAAGCCTGTGCACGAGTAGTGATCTCCATCTAATCGTGTCTGTTTTGTTATCTCGGTGTAGAATCATCAACTCAAGTGCCACTTTACCTAGCATTTTTAATGGGCCATCAATGGATCCCAGCCTTCCCTGCTTGTTTGCTTCCTTCTGTTTGTGCCACCCAAGTTAGCATGATATTTAATGTAAGATCGACTGCCTACATACAAGTGCGGCACATGTTGGGCCATTTTGTTTTAATGTTTTATGAGGACCCACTATTTTTATGTCTTCTTTTGTCAGACGCTTCAATCATTATGTTTCACTCCTTATCCATGTTGGGTTTGTTTTAGGGGAAAATAGGGAGTTTAAATTTCAGAATGTCTATGCTATGGTGCTTGCTTACTTTAATCCAGTGAACTTTAGCATTTTTCTAGTGTCATTACCATAATAAACCAGGGTTGGAGCTTCCTTAGGGCCTACAGTAGCCATGACCCTTGTCATTTGAGCAACTCCATAGAAAAAGTAGCAGTACTTTGAGCTACATCACTAATTTATGCTTGTAAATACCCTATTGGAAGTGCTTAATTCATCTTTGAATCATTGCTGCACCCAACCCCCCTACTAACTTTGGTGGCAAGCTTTGCCACTGCATGTAACACTATGGCCCTGTTTGACACAACTTATTTGCAGTTTTTTAAGCTGCTTCACTTCCCAAACGTTATGCAAAGTTATTTTGGAGTTTTATATGAATACTACGGTTTTACAGAATACCTAGGTATTAAGAAGGAAGTGTTTGGATAGAATAAACTTTGAAGTTTTAGAAACCGCTGTATTTATAAAACTACAGTATTTTTGGAGTTTTGGAAACTCCACCTGGACCCTCTTTTTTCTTGACAGAGCTTGGCGCTCGGCATGTGTACTTACAGATACATGCTATTTTTACAAGCAAGGACAGAACCAACGAATTTTTAAAAGCAACGTACTGCTACGTAGCCAAACACGTCATAGCTTTTCTGAAACAGAGAAAAACTCTAGTTTATAAATACTATAGTATTAGATGACTACCGTTTTTAAAACTGTGGTTTCCCAATACTACAGTTTGAGGAAACAGGAACACCCAAACGGGGCCTAAGCTTTTTTTCGGACTTCTAGGGAAAGTGCTTCTACGGATTGAACTAGAGGCCCATAAGCTGGAAGTGGCCCAGGGGGTGCTTTTTTTCCACCGCAGCCAGCTTCTACCTCCTGTCCATTTCTTTTGCTGCTCCACAGCTGTTCCATCTCCACCAGCGCTGCTCCCTCCCAGCTCCGCGGCTCGAAAGTGAACGATCGATGATGTCAGACAGGCCGCCGCTCCTGTGCCCGGTGGCGTGCTGGTGGATAGCCCCAATATGCTCCATGCCTTGCGTCACCGGCTGGCTTGGTGGAGCTGAACAGGACCGCTCTAGTCTTCCGGAAATATCCGCAATGAGGGAGTTGGGGAGGTGAAGCCACGGCCAAGTAGGTTTGCTGCCTTTGGTTTGGCAGCCGCTGCTGGCCATTTACCACGGCTAGCATTGGCCTTGGGTCTGTGATCTGGAAGGATGGCCTGTGTATAGTTGGTGCAGTCGATGAGCTTGGATGCATTAGTGCTACAGCTCAACAATCCCTGACGAGCTTGGTGAGCTTGAAGGACGGGGGCCTTGAGCTTGGAGAGGGTGTGGATGCGTGAAAGCTCAAAGGAGATGGGGATGGGCTGGACCCATGGTTGCCTCCTGCCGGATCAGAGGTGAGGAGATCAGAAGTAAATGGGATGTGGTCATGTGGAAAAAGTGGCGAAAGGGCCTCTAGCTGAGCTGGTTAGGTGGCTTGAGTAGCACTTCCCAGGTCCTGGGTTCGACTCCCCGTGGGAGCGAAATTTTTTGCATTGTACAACTGTAGTGTGTATACTACCTGTTCAACTGCAAATTTGAAGTCACAGCTAACTTTTCAGCGCCATCACTTTAATCTTGTTGGTACTTGTATTGTTTTTTGGTCCTTCAAAATATCCATCTTTCAGTATTAACACCAACTTTCTTCTCAACAGGTGGTCAAACAAGCATCAGGTACTGGCTCTTTATCATCATATTAAACTCGACTGTCATTTATGAAGCAAATAGTACTATTCCATTTATTTAATTATCGATTGAAAAAACTGAGGTATTCTACTACTACCTTTTTGTTAATTATATTAAGTAATTGGTGGAGATAATACTGTCTTAGTACCCTGGCACTTCAGTTTCCACAAGCTAAATCATCAGGCTGGAAGAACAGATATGTTTAATAAAGATAAGGATTTTTCTTTTTCTCATTGCGGGACGAGCCTGAATTTCATCAATATGCAACGAATTAGAAAGGTTCCTCATTGCAGTGTTTAATGTCTCCCAAACCATGTAAAGATTAAGCTTTTTCTAAGATAGAATTGTAAAGATTGGATCATGCTGAAAATATCTTAATCTAGTTGTTTTTTATATGGAAGCCTGGCCTAGGCCTGTATAATGTACATCGTGCCTGTCTTGGATGTAATCTTTTAGGTTGATCCTTGCCAACATGGACATGAAAAAGGACTCCACCATGGGGAGAGATATGCCCTGGTGTTCCCCTTAAGTAAAAGCTAGACAAAGATAGGAAGAACTAGGCAGCTTTATGTTAATAAGAAATAGGCACCCAATTTCACCAAAACGAGGACTCATTGGTGGCCTGGACCCAAGTCCACACCTCAACCAGTTGATCTAGGCTGTCACTCTATGATCCAAGAGTTGTTATGGTTTGGCCTTGGATCATTTCATAATTTGGTGGCACAATATATATGATATATTCGTGCATAGCGGAGTGATACACAATGAAAAATAGTCCAGATGGAGTGCATCCAACTGATCTTTAAAATGTGGTGTAGTTGAATCCTAGTAACTCTAGTGGAACTAGTTTATGGAGATGGTCTAAAATGTGAACAAGATATGATAGTCTATACGATGCCACGTCTAGATGCTTTTGTAACATATCCTCAGTTGCCGATATTTTGTTTCTGCATTCCTTTCCACGTGAGCACTGTTTTAGGGGGAAAACATGAGGGCATTTCAAGTATTGTACTAGTAGTATAAGAACTTTTCCTTTTTATACTTGTGTAAGTGTTGGAATGGTCCTTTATGACATAGAGCATGAATTTTCTTGAATCCTGAGACTTTTTGGGTTTCTTAGATAAGACTTAACATGTCAACTTGTTTGGATTTTCATTGGCCTTCCTGTGCTTTTGAATATCAGAACTAGAATCGTTACTTTTAGCATAATGCATTTATTTTTTCCATGAACTAATACATTTAATATCCCATCAATATCTTTGTCATTTGTGCATTTTCAGGCCATATTATGGCGGTGCTACTTTCCAAACACCCAGGCTATCATATATGTTGTTGATTCAAGTGATACAGATAGGCTTGTAACAGCAAAAGAAGAATTCCATGCCATCCTTGAGGTAATGGTCCACCATCATGAGATCCTCGTTTACACCAAACAATCTGAGATACTTTTCCTGGTCTTATTTGACGTAGATTTAACATTTCTTGCCAATTTCTGAGAAGAAATGAAAATATTAAAACATTTCATCAATGGAAAGAATGATTATTCATGCTGATTGAATACTGTAGTATGTGATTCGCTGATTATTTTGCAATGAATAAGTTGATGAGTGCCATATGCATGATATTATGGAATGCATTTCAAGGCGGTGTTGCTTGATATTATGGAATTCATGATTCCTGTTGATATATCTAATATGTGTTTGACTCTGGTAGCGGTATGGGATAGGTGGAGCATGAGTGGTAACAAGATTTTACTGTTTGATTGTATCACTGGGTAATGCTCCCTCCTTTCCAAATTGTGAGTTGTTCTGGCTTTTCTATAAAACCCAGAACGACTCACATTGTAACTGAGGGAGTATCATATCTAGAAAATTCTACTTCTAGTTTTGAACGGCATTGATATGTTTGTAAATAAATATTTTGACATTTGGAACTTAGAAATATTAGCTAGGGTGCATATGCCTTTAAGTCTCACTTGTTGCAGAACTACAATCTGAATTTCTTTTACTGAATGGCTATTTTTTTCTCCGAATAAGGAAGTCTAGTAAGCACGGGGTGCCCTTAAATCTGTTACATTTACTGATTTGATGCATGCCTTTACATGGCAGGAGGACGAGCTTAAAGGTGCAGTTGTCCTTGTATATGCAAATAAGCAGGTAAAAAGAAGAATTTTGAATTTCTCATACTGTTGTGGATTTGGCATTTTCCATGATTATCAGAATTAAGCTGCATGTTTATATTTCTGTGCATTTAATCACATGAATGTTGATGTAGGCATCAGCAGTCAGCACTTAAATGCCTCAAATGCTGATATTTTCACTTGTCCTGTACTACTTTCGATATAAAGTGTACTCTAATTTGGTAATATAGTTATCTTTTCCCTACTACACAAGCTCCCTGCTTTAAGATAGGTGTATATGAAGTGTAACTGTAATGTTTGTTTCAAGTGTTCGTCTCCTTCATAAATCATTCGCTGGAACCATTGATCTATCCAAATAGCTTGCACCTCTTGTCAAATGATTCAGCATGGTGTACTCATTTCCAGTAGACACTTGCTTTTAACTTGTGCCTTATGTTACTTGTACCCTGTAGGCTGTAGCTCTACTGTATCTCGTGGTTTTTTGCATTTTATCTGACATGCCAGTTATTTTCATGCAGGATCTTCCAGGCGCACTCGATGATGCTGCCATTACAGAGTCATTAGAACTGCACAAGATTAAGAGCCGCCAATGGGCGATTTTCAAAACATCTGCAATAAAAGGAGAGGGGCTCTTCGAAGGTTTGGACTGGTAAGTGGGGTCAAAATTTCATGTCCTACGGGATGTTTCTGCATGGCAAAATGGCAAGATACACAAGTGAATGAATGTCTTTAATAAATCATTTGTATCACCAATTAAAATAGTTCTTCCTGCGTTATCAAGTAGTGGCTGTACTGTCCATGTCCTATCACCAGGCTGCAGTTCTATCTATTAATTAATTACAAAAGAACATGCTTATGTATTTACGTGATGATTGAGACACGTGGAGGCATTATTGGAGGAAGCAACTTATGGTTGGCTATTATTGCAGGCTCAGTAACACACTCAAATCTGGAAGCAGCTAATCAGGAGCCTCTATCTCCATGTCATGAATCATTTGCTGGATGGTAAAGAATAGAGCCGATGCTGCCCATTTCCTTGCAAGTCAGCTGCGCAAATCCCATTCTCTTTGTTTTAACTCCAGAAGTTCTACACCCCGCCATCTGTAAAGTGCTTGTTAAAGTTTTTTGGATACTACATTAGATGTACCCTCATATTGAGATCAAGAATAGGTCTGTAGAAAATTATGAGCAAACTGTGCCAGTATCTTTACCCGTAAATCTCATGGATTGTGACAAGTTTTTTCCCCAATGATTAAGCGTACCACATTTCTACCTTGTCTTATCAGTGACCAGATGCACGGCATTTGTACCTTTAATTTTCTTAAGCATATTTTGCTAACGCTTTTACATTTTTTTTAGTCTCTGCTACCACTTTTACTTGAAGTACGGCAGATGGATCTTTACAGAACTGTTGCAAGATGTCGCAATGCAGGTTTAATTGGACACCTGTGGTTACTAATTTGTGAAGAACTTTGTACTGGAATTGATATATAATTATAACAAAATATGTGGATTGAGACAAATACATGCGCATCCAACCAAGGCTTTAGTAAGAGTAGTATTGTATTTTCGGGGACGGATTGAGTACTTCCTCCGTCTAAAAATAAGTGCACATCTCGCTTTTTAGGTCTATCGTTTTTAAAGTTTGACCAAGTATTATAGTAGTAGAAAATAATATCTATTTTGTATCTTTTCCAAATTAATTTGATCAAGTTTTTAAAGTTTGACCGTTTGAGTACTCCGTACTTTGGAGGGAGTAGTTGTTTACATGATTGATCCTTCCGGTGGCAGGAAAAAGATTTGCATGTAGGCCCGGGCGTCCAGTCTGGCCATAGCTCGATAGATCGCACAAACCAGCTCCGCCTGATCAGACAAAAGAGGCCTGCGAATTGACGTCAGCAGGGACGTCACCTGAAAGCAAAGGTTTGTTGCGCTGAACGGGCAAGTCTTACCTGTAGAGGTAGACTGTAGTTTTGCACCACGGACGACTGTTCAACCGTCGTCTCACGTCAGTTGCCGTTTAACGACTTGGCCCTGGAATAAATCGCGTGCCAAAAGGCTAACGCCCCTTTCATGATAATGTCATCCACAGTAGGACACGTGTTGTGCTGACAATTCTCCGCTTTTGCGGCGAAAATCTAAGTTTTGTTTCATCTATTAAATTAGAACTGAAGCATGTAAATTTCACCATTGGCCGAACTGTACTTACTTTTTTCTCATACCACCGTATATAGGAACACACACTCACTTCTATAAACACATTTACATAAATAAATTGTACACCTAATCTCTATAAGTATATGAACACAGACTCACCCTGTAAACACATGTACGTATACCTAAACTATATGAGCACTTTCAAAAAAAAATGAGTCCACAACTGACGAAGGCCTCATAGACGTTTCGTAGTTGACGGGGATATGTCACATATCACTTAAAGAACAACAACCAGATATGTGGTTCTATCTCTATCGCGACCTGTTTTGAAGACGATGAATTGCTCCAACGATGGCTAGAACATTTAACTTCTTTCCAAGTTTTCTCAAATTAAAGAAACTTCATTGTAAGGCCTCCTTTGAAACAGGGTAATTTTTCCTATTTCATGTGTTTTCTTGTAAAAAATGAACTAATTTATGTGAAATTCTTGTGTTTCAGAAGGGTCCTAAATTTCTTTTGAAAAAAAAGTTTAGTTCCAAGTTTCTAATCAAAAGTCATACACCATCTAAGAAATATTTTTGTCATAGATCACACTAATTGATGGAATGCTAGGTGGCGAAGAGGCACTAGACTCTACTGGCTGCGAAAATATCTAGTCGTGCTGTGACAACCGGCGGAATGAAAGCTCAAGACGACAAAAACTCGGTTGCAATTAGCCCAATAATGCCGAAAGGGGCAGCAGCGAGTGACTCTGCTGGTCCTGTTTCTTTGGAGGCTTCAAGGGGCAGGAAGGAAGGCTGGAACGTTCTGGAATCACAGCACCCGGAGGATAAGGCCAACACCAGCGGACCAACCTATTGTGCTCCAATGGAGTGCTCCCAACAAAAGAACCTCTTGAGGATAAGGCGAAGAGTGGGACGTGCCGGAAAAGGCAACCGTTGGTTGCCGCCAGTTTGATTACCATATATACTCATCCACCCCAAACAATCAGACAGAAAAAAGGTTAACAAGGGCCGCTACTAGTTCGGTGAAATCACAGCCGACCCTTATATCAAATCAAGCTCTCAAATTGTGACATTTGCACCTGCATATTTGGGTTGTCTCAAACAGGGTTCAAAATTTTGGCGAAATTTCACCGACGAATTTCAGTAATTTCGGTGTGCAATACCGAAATTAAAAACCTTGGTCTCAAATCATGCACTTTTAGTGATAACTTACTTACCCGAGCACACTAATTTTACCCTTCTCTAGTGATAAAGAAGTGACCTGATTTTGTGGTTGTCTGAAGTATGTCAAAATATTTTCCGTATGTTCAATTTAGACCAGAAATTAATGGTACAGCGAGTTAAGTTAAAATTACACTCCATCTAAATACACGAGGCAATCTATCTTTTCTCCATTGATTTGACTATATATTTTTTTATGTAAATATTTGGGTAAATAAATTGAACAGACCTACAAGGCGTGCTCAAAATACATTCCGCTTACAAAAATGATTGTATTGTTTCGGGTTTATTAGTAAACATTGTTGCCATGCAAACGCCTGTACCAGTAGTTCTAAAACAGTTGGTGTTCCCTCGGTTTTTGAGTGCGCCTGCGGTAGCCGGCCGGGTAGGGTTAGATTGCATTGCGTGAGCTGCAGCTGATGGCCATTTAGTTCGAAAGCAACCAATGAGGAAGCCAGGAAAAAATTTAGGAGAGGCTGAACAAAAAAATAGAGGTTTTTAAATTTTTTTTTAACCTTAGCCACTCCTACCTAATACATATATGCATAAAATTTTAAGAAAGGACTTAGAGGCTCCACGTGCCCAGGATCGGTAGAGGGCTAGAGCCCCTAGCCCCACCACTGGCTCCGTCGCTGAAAGCAACTAATTTATAGTATTAGTAAGGGAAAGTGTCAATCATCTTCAAACAATCCAGCGACTACCCAGTGCTCCAAGCACACCAGTCACTCTCGGTCAACCGACTTCTTCACCAAACTGGGGGCAAAAAGATGTAAAACTCTAGGCGTGGACGGTTTGTTTTGTCCAATCGACCTAACCAAAACGAAAATAATTTAGCAGTACGGGTCCTAATCCTAACAGCACAGTAGTAATTCTGACCAGGTGCACTAGCGTCCCGTGCAAGAAAGACCAGTGCGCTTAGCCGACGTCATCATCCGACGTGGCACTAGGCCGGCGCTGCGGACGCAGCTATGTCCCGGCCGTGACGCCCCTCAGCTGGTTTTCCACCCGGACCCGGGTACAGTAGCTTCCATCCATCCGAACGTTCCAGAAGGACACGTGTTGTGTCGACCTCGTGACAACAGGCGCACAGGTCAACGCGGTAGACCCCGGTGACTTTCCAGGTGGCCTTTCCCGCTTCAACCATGGGACCCTGGCCGCACCCATGCGAGTGCGCCACGGCTTGCACCTTTTCTTTTCTTTTTTCTTTTTTAGCTTTGTGGAAATTATCACTCACGCAACACGGCTTTTTCTTTCTTCTTGTCCCTTCTTTTTCACCTCTTTATCTTGCCGTTCAATCATTCATGCATCCTCAGGGTAAAAAACTAAAATAAATAAATAAAACCGGTAGCCGCTCCGCACCAAGGCGCCCGAGTGGCGGCGCCATTGTTTATCTTATCCCGGGGCTGGGGATGTGCCTCTTCCCTAATGATTCGTTTCTGTTTAACTTAAGAGAGAGATTATGTTAATCGGTCTGATGTTAACTACTGCTAATAGCAACTTAAGCTCTAGACCAAGTAGCACCCACAAGCCAAGTATTAAGTGTGTGTGTGTGTGTATATATATGCCTTAGTTTGAAGACAAAGGCGTATGTGGTTTTTGCTAGTTTTGTTGCTTCAAGGTTAGAGTTGACCTATATAATTATGGGAGCCTCTCTAACCTATATAATTAGTGACAAATTTGTATACAACTGTAAATCTAGACAATCTTTGTTAAGGACGAGGACTATACGTACACACATCTCTACTCCTAAAAAAGAGTGAAACGGACCGTCTACCGCCCGTGGTGAGGCCGCTGCGATAGAGGTCTTCAGGTGATTTTGCAGTGCGCCGACGTGTGGCCCCCCGCCCCCTCTTCCACACGAGTCCACTCCCTGCTCCCGGCCATCAATCAAGGAAAAAAATAGAAGCCCCTACCCCGTCGCCCTGACCTGCTCCCGCCGTCGCCGCCTACCGCTGCCCGGCCCACCCCCACTGGTTCTGCCGGCTCACCCCCTGCCCTAATTGGTTTCCCCTCCCTGCCCCCTCCTCGGATTGGTGCACCCCTCCCCAAGATCACCGTTGCCGTCCTCCGCGTCCCACCCCACGCTCGCCTCACCTGTCGCTGATCCCCTTTGCCATGGTAGTGGTGATCGCCGTCGCCCGTCCTCCGCGTCCCTCCCCACGCTCGCCCGTCACTCCGCATCCCTCCCCCAGATCGCACGTCCGGCCCAGGCAGCGGATGGAGGAGCAGGCCTCCGGTCGGAACGGTCTAGATCCCCGTCGCCATGGTAGTTGCGAGATCCATGGTGCGACGGCCGTCCCATCGGTGGGATCCATGGCCTCCAGGCCATCTCTTCAGGAACGAGTCTAGGTTCCAGCCGCCGGTGATGGAGGGTGGTGGCAACAACAGCTTTTACGATGACAACATTAGTTCTTGGTGCCATGGCCTCAAATCCATGGGTTTCTAGCGGTGCGGTCCCACTCCATCTCCTCAAGGTCCAAGGGCTGGAGCTACATTGGTTCTAATTTTCCCACCTTGGAGATCAATGGTGTTCCAGGGCACAGACGGGTTCTGCGTGCACAACAACGTGGGAAGGCTGGTGTTCCGAGTCAACAACTGCTTGCACGTTGGTGAGCTGCTGCTCATGGACGGGCAGGGCATGCCGCTCCTGTTCATCAGGTCACAGCCCACAGGTGAGTGGTGGTTACTACTTGGCTTGCTTACCTCTTCTGCATCATCTAGCGTCACAACAAACTGCATGTATCTGTTCATTCTGCTCTGTCATTGCTAGCCACAGATCGAAGGAGAGAGAGAGTAGAAATGTATTCCCTACTGCTCATTCTGCTCTCTCATTGCTAGCCACAAAACTATTTGCTCTGGTTAGTGTGGTTAATGCAGCGATGATGCTTTGCTATAGCTTCTTGGTCTGTGATTTGTGAATTGTTGATACATAGAGTGCTAAATATATTCCCATGGATATATTTTGTGCATAAAAATATATTTTAGTCAATATCATATATATCATCAACTAACTATAGATTTTCTATCATCTACACATATCACGATACAAGTCCAT